GCCTCCTGCAAGAAATCTATTCTCTATGCATCAAGTCCAGACCCTTGTTCGAAGCAAAGTGAACGACAGGGTCTGGTTTGAACCAGGCTACTTATAAACAGAAATATCCCTTAAAAAACACAACACCTGTTCAGAAAGGCTATTTATCACCACCAGATCTGCTCCTCTGGCTCTGCAGTCCTCTCTGCCTTTATCCCAGGAAGCAGACTTTGTTGAGAAGAGGTAACAGGAGCTAAAGAACACTGTCCATCCTGCAGGGCATGATTTCTCTGAAAAAAAAAAACATCTCTGATCTTATTGATCACAAAATATAACTTTGAACTATAGATTCAAGAGTAAAAAATACATTAAATTTCTGGTTTGGAAGGAGTAGGGTGAAAAGGACTGTATCAGGTCAAACCTTGATCTGTTGTAAAAGGCTTTTCAACCATTAGACTTATGACACACAACATGCAGCTGAGAACTTACCTTTTGTGGACAAACACTCAAGCCTGATGAGATTTGCTTTCAGCAGGTCTCTCTCTTCTGTGATGGAGGAAAGTTTGTTGTTGCTGTCCTGCAGATGCTCAGTCAGATTGTCTCTGATGGTGGAGAGATCTGCTACTGAATTACAATAAATGAAGATGGACTTTTGAAAAGTATTTTGCTTGAAGTTAAGCAATTTTTAATTTCCTAAAACATTGCAACTCATTTTAAAAGCTGTAAAATGGGAACATTTACAAATAAATAAGTTTACTGGAAACAAAAAGTAAACTGTGTGGTAGAACAAACTGCCTAAGCAAATGCCCACACCACTTTTTTCTCACTCATGTGAAAAAGGAAGTATCATCAGTGTGTCAGAACATTATTATCTGATATCATTTCCTTCCTTTAACCAACAAACTTCTTGAAACTGAGTCAAGCTTAGTTTACCAAAATAACTCAAATAGCCAATGGAAGAAGCATTATTATTTATGACAGACTCACACTGCAGACTCAGGATGATGAGTTTGACCAGCAGGAGAACATTCAGGAGTGCACAAAAGATCAAGACACCAAAATAGAGCCTCTTCTTAGAGCTGCTTGATCCTTAAAAAAACAGTTGAAACTAGATGTTTACATATTGATTAAAAAGACAGAACCATTTTATTTTCTCAGCTTGTGAAGATGTTGAAGGTGGTGAGAGACTCCATCCATTGTGAAGCTCTAACCCTAACCAACATTGGCTGAAAGGGAATTTATTGAGGAAGAGGCCTTTACACCAAACACAGAATAAAGACACACGTGGACAGAGACATTAAGTTTGGGAGAACTGAAATTGAACTGTTTGGCCATAATGACCATTATTACATTTGGAGGAAAAACCTGAAAATACCACCTCATCTGTAAAGCATGGAGGTGACAGCTTCATTCTATGGGGCTGGTTTGCTGCAGGAGAGACTGATGCATAGCTTGAATCATGAAAAAAATAACATTAAATGGAAATATTGAAGCAGCATTTTACTGAAGTACTGAAAGCCCAAATAATAAGGGTGATCTATTCTTTTAGACATTTTCTTTTAAAATTATTTGTTTATTTAATGTCACAAGTTTCTGTCCATTTTCTTCTATTTGACAAATTGAACAACTTTTTAAAGAGATGCTTTCATAAAATGAGAAAAGTTTAGTCTTTATTTTAAAACTAAATATTCAGCTGATTATAACTGTACATTTCAAACCAAATAAATGTCATGTGATATTAGTTACATTTCTGTTTAGGATTTCTTACCTCTGTGATCTGATGCAGGAACCTGGCAGACAGGGTTTGCTTGTTCAATAGTGGCATAAATTTCCTCCATCTCTTGGAAAGACGTAGATTATTCCCCTGATGGTCAGATCTGCAGCAACAACTAAACTGTGATGTTTCAATCAAGCTTTTCACACAGTTTGAGGAAGTAACATATTTCCGTAGAAGGGTCATTGACATATAAGGATTTCCAAAAAGCTAAAATTAAAATTTGAAAAATATTTATATCTATTACAATTGCTAAAACATTTGAAATGTTGTTCACACAGAAATTGTAATTAAAAATTAAAATCGTTAGCCACATAGCATAATAGCCTAAGTCATTTTTGAACGTTTTTGGAAAACGAAAAAACTATTTTTTCAGAAAATATATTGGAATTTTTTATTAATATTGTAACAGAAAGTTCAATGAGA